TTTTTTTTTAAATTGACTTTATTGGGGTAACATTGGTTAACAACATTATACAAATTTCAGGTGTACAACTTTATAATACGACATCTATGCACTCTATTGTGTGAAGTCTAGCCTTCCATTACCTTGTATTTGACCCCCTTTACTCTCTTCGTCTTCACCCCAACCCCCTTCTCCTCTGGTAACCACTATTACCTCCCTTTTCTTTCCTCTCTCCCATACACTAAACTTTGTGCATTCTGGGTATGTGGTACATTTTTCTAAAGCGATAAGGATTTTGCCCTCCTGACATCAATATACTCAGTAATGAGGACCTAGGTTAGAGGAGCCCCAGTGACCACAGGCAGATGAAAGGGCACCTCTAATGTGCGTCAGCTCATGTTCTGGATACCAAAGTATAAAAAACAGCCATGCCAAGAAAGCCAACAGAGTGAAGCAGTTCTGCTACCCACAGCCAAAGGTGATCGCCGCTTGCTGTTCATCCCGGACATTCATTCATTCTCTTTTGCATTCAGTAAATATTTGTGGAGCATATACTATGTGCCAGGTACTTTGCTAAGTGCCAGGCACACTAGGACGAACAAAAACAGGCTTGATTCCTATTGGCAGAGACAGTCATTAATGAAACATAACATAAATATGAAATTAAAAATTGTGTCATATTCAAATCCTTGTAACAGAGTTCCACCTAGCCTTCAAATCTTTGCAAGTTCTCATAAAAAAATACCACTTATCTTTGAAGATCATTCAAGTGATACATGCTATTCTCATTAAAAAGACTCTATAGATATATACAGAGTAAAATGTGAAAGCCCTCTTTCCTTACACCATTCCACTCCCTTCCTTGGAAGAAACAAGCATTAAGTTTGTCTATAATCCTTTGGGAGTTTCCTATGCAATGTAGTAGAGTGGTTAAAAGCATGGTCTCTGGAACCAGTCTGTCTGAATTTAAATTCTGCCTCTGCCAATTGCTGTGTGACCTTGGTCAAATTATTTAACCTCTCTGTTCCTCTGTTCCATAATCTGTAAAATGGGAATATAATAGTACCTATTTCATAGGGACTATCTTGAGGATTAAACAAAATGATATACTTAAAGTACTTACCACAGTACCTGGCACACAGTAAGTACTATTTAAGTGATAATGAAAAGAATCGTTATTTAAATACACATATATACACATATACAGATATGAATATATTTTAATATAAGTGGGATACTTTTCTGCACCTTCCTTTGGTAACTTAACAGTATATGTTGGATATCTTTCTATGTCAGCATGTACAGATTCACCACATTTTTTTGATAATTGCATGCCATATACCATATGAGGGCATTAAAATCACTCATTTAACCTTTCCTATATTGATTGACATGTAAGTTGTTTCCACTTTTTAGCTATTACTAACAGTATTGGTAGCAAGATCCTTCATCATGGTTTGAGTCCCCTGTGAGTTTGTTTGGCAACCTTGCTGGAAGACCTTTGAGGGTATTTGGAATCTCATAGCTGTATCGCCAGGTAGCAAAATAGTGGGCATTGCAGAAGACATTTTGTTGGTTCTTCTGTATATCCTTCTGAAGAAACTGCCTTAGAAGCCTGTGGCTGCCATGGCCTAGGGACCCTGAATTGTATTCATAAGGAGAAGGACCCTTATGCTGTGTAGCTGTTCTGGGGGATAATTTTAGAATCTCCTCAGCAAGAGGCCCCAACAACTCCTGAGAAACCCAGCTTGACCTGTTGGGTTTCCCTGTGTTTCAGATCAGTGCTGAGTCCGTGAGTGGCTTGCTATCACACAAAGGCGAGTTGGTGGTTTCACTGAAATACATCCCAGCCTCCAAACTCCCTGCTGGAAGTGACCGGAAAAAGAGTGAGTTTTCTTTGGGGCCCTGGATTTAGCCGTTGTCTTCTGTACAGGATCTGTGTGAGGTGGTGCTGGCCAGTGGCTAGCACTGTTGGAGAGATCAGATTGTGAGATGAGCCCTGGCTCATCTTCTAGGGAAGATGCCTTTACTCACTAAGCCTTTTCTGCATTTTTAAACCAGAATGGAATGCCTCAGGGTTGGCGTTTAATTTTTTTTTGTAGGCCATTAAACTAACTTGGTCTTGGTCCAGCTGTGGCAAGCTACTAAGAGGGCAGAACGGTACAGAAACTTTGAGAAAGGATGGTTGGAAGGGGTGGTGAAGTATGAGGGACAGGAAGTTGAAGGCTGAAGAAGAGTGAGTCAGCATACCAGGCACTGTGCTAGTGACTATGGATATGTAGATGAATGAGGCATGACATTTGCCCTCCCTCGAGGAGCTTAGTTTAGCAAGAAAGACAGTCATGTGCAAAAAGAACGCAGATGCAGGAGCTATGAATTCTTTCTGGTTACATTTGGGAGAGCTTTAAGGAGGAGGTAATGATGAAACTTAAGACTTTGCCAGGCAGAAAAGGAAGCGGGTGGGGTGAGAAGAACGTTTCTAGAAGAGGAGATAGCACGAGCGCATTGAATGTGGGGTGTATGTGAGTGTGAGAGAGTGAAGTCCTTATTTCAGTGGGGCTGGAGTTATAGTATAGAGATGTGGGAGTGGGGCTGGAATTGATGAGGCTGGAGCCCGACTGAAAAGAGCCTTAAACATAATGGTAACGAGTTGAAATTGATCTATTGGCAGTGGAAAGCCAAAGTTCTTAAAAAGATACCTACTGTAAGGTCTAACTATAGGACGTGGGGAATTAATGTCATCCCCAAGGAGGTTGTGCAAAATGACTAGAGAAGAGAGGTAAGGATGGAGCCATAGGGAATGTCACTACCATAAAGGTTGAAGAGAGGAAGAAAAGCCAATGAGATAGGGGGTTATCAGGGGAGAACAATGCCAGAAGAGAGCTTGAAGAAGGGAGTGGGGTTTCTCAGCAGTACTGAAATACTACTGGGAGGTCAGGCCCAAAGAGGACTGAAAAGACCCAGTTTATTGGCGTTAGATTACATTTTCAGTGGGTTAGTTGAAGCAGAAACCAGATTTCACTAGAAACTAGGCAGAGTGAATGAGGCAAAGAAGTAGAGGTGTTGAGTGTGGACTCTTTTTCAGGATAATTGATAGTGAAAGAAAGGAGAGACATAGAGAATAGAATAGCCTGAAAATGAAATAAAGTTGAAGGGCAATTTTCTTTTTAATTTTCTTTTTAAGGAGAAATGAGATTAGCAGGTATTTAGACTGAGAGGATGGAACCAGTAGAAAAAGAGATTTTAAAAGTGGCAGATGGGAGTCAAAATTGATGATGCCTGATGAATCCTGTGAAGTAAGAGTGGGATCAAGAACACAGTGGAGGGGTCCTCTGTTTTTGTAGTCATTCAACAAATATAGGCAACTTTATTTGTCTAAGCCTCAATTTTCTCATCTATAAAATGAGGACAATAATAGTATATATTTCATAGGGTTGTTTTAAGAATTAAATGCTTAATGTAGAATCTGACACATAACAAGATTTTGATAAGCATTTATTGCTGTTGTTTATATTAATTGAGCCCTTGTTGCTTACTGTCAGGCATTCTGCTAGGTACTGAGAATCCAGGTCAGGTGCGATCCACTTATGGAGCTTGCTGCCTTCAGGAGCAAGGAAAAGAAATGCTATGTAGATAAAGCTCAAGAGAAATTTGGAGCTGTAGGGGCTCACTTGCTATGGCTCATATCCCTTGCAGGTAAAGGTGGGGAAGGGGGAGAGCTCCAGGTATGGATCAAAGAAGCCAAGAACCTGACGGCTGCCAAATCAGGAGGGACTTCAGACAGCTTTGTCAAAGGGTGAGTCCCTGGACCAGCATAAAACTAACCAGTTTTAGGACAAGAGAGCTAAGAGGGAAACCCAATTTTATCTTTCTCTGTGGATATTATATTTGTGTGTTCTACCACTTCCTGCAACCAACTTTTTTCCTGAAAGTAACCACCACTACCACCAAAACCACCACTACCACATTTGCACTGGTCTGAGCTCAGTTTGGACTGACTGTAATGCTGATTGCCAAAGAGGAGGGTGGTAGGCAGATAGGTTTGACTTTTCCTTTGTTATAGACTTATACTCTTAATTAATCCTTAATTAAAAAACATCTCTGTCCCCTGACTGTTAAGATTTGGGGATTTATGACTTTGTTCCCTACAATATTTAAGCAATGTTAGCTTTCCCCAGATTATAGATCACCCCACTGAATTAAGTTCTCTAGTAAATCATGTTTGGCTGTGCCTATAGTTACTACCATTGGTTTTATTTAAAGGGGACCTTGCTCAATAGAAATGAAAGCAAATATTTAAAACCCATTTTTAATATGATGTAATATTTTTAATATAATAACATATTAATTTTCTCTCCAGGTTGAAGGAATCGAATCAGATGAATGATCTAGTGGAGTTCTTAGGAACTCTGCTTCAGATTCAAAGGCAGGAATATGTGTATTAGGATCTGAGAGTTTGCTCACCTGAGCTAGGCCTGTGGTAGGGGAAAGGAGAATTTAGATACATATTGCCAGACTTGAGTAGGTTGTTGATTACTCCCCACCCTCTGCCAGATACCTCCTTCCCATAAGGAACAAGGCCAGTAAGCGCAAAACTCCTGTGATGAAGAAGACTCTGAATCCCCACTACAACCATACGTTTGTCTACAATGGTGTGAGGCTGGAAGATCTACAACACATTTGCCTGGAACTGACTGTGTGGGACCGGGAGCCCCTGGCCAGCAATGACTTCCTGGGAGGGGTCAGGCTGGGCGTTGGCACTGGTGAGAGTTCCTTCCCTTACCCACTATCTTAAAGGCCTCTTGTATATTTCACTCCCAATATACCCAACTTCCTCCCTACAAATTTCTCTATGACAAGAGTTGTCTTCTTTCCTTTGAGTTAATGTTCAACCAATATTTACTGAGTGCCTACTGCACAGGCCAGGAAGACAGCTCGTGCACTCTTACGTGTACAGATAAATGTGACCCTGATGGCCAGGAACACCATCATCTTCCCACCAAAAATGTCTGAAAACCTACCTATATCTGTACATATAATTTCCATCTTCCATCCTGTTGTAATGAAAGAAGGATCCTTTCTAGCAAAGGCCAATCTCTTTACAAGTGTTCTGGATCATATCCTCACCTCTCAATGACCTCACTTCTGGAATCTCCTCTCTCTCCTGTATGATCAGTTTCATTCTCTCTGCCTCCCACTAGAGGTGAAAATAGATATGCTCTGATAATTCTGATATTAAGAAACAGAAAGAAACCTTCCCTTGATCCTACAACTCCCTTCTAATTTATTAAAAATAATTGTCTCCACTCCTTTACCTATCCTTTAGTCTTCAGTCCACTGTGACCTGACTCCTGTCCCACTACTCTACTGAACAATTGCTCCTACCAAAGTTTTGTATTCATCTTACTAGAATTTTTAGTGCTATTCAACATAGCTGATCACTTCCTTTTTCTTGACATACGTAGCTCTTATTGACATTATACTCTTGATTCCCTTTTAACTCACTGCTCACCTTCTCAATTTTCTTTGTGGGTTCCTCATTCTATACCCAAACTCTAAATGTTGTTTCTCAAGGCACAGTCTTGGATCCTTTTTTTAAAAAAATTAATTTTTAAAAATATGTTTTTATTGATTTCAGAGAGAAGAAGGGAGAGTGAGAGAGAGATAGAAACATCAATGATAAGAGAGAATAATTGGCTGCCTCCTGCACACTCCCTACTGGGGATCAAGCCCTCAATCTGCCCGGGAATCGAACCGTGACCTCCAGGTCCATGGGTCAACACTCTGAGCCACACTGGCCGGGCTTGGATCCTTTTCTTTTCTCTCTCTCTAGTATGTACATTCCTGTGGCCTTAAATAGTACTTGTATATTAATAACTCACACAAAGCACTTAACACAAACCATCTAGGATGGTGTTTTTACCAAGGTAAGCCAGTTCATGTCAGTTGCCTGCTTAAAACCTTTCAGTGGCTTCCTGTTGTACTTAGAACAAAGTCCTCAGCATGCCTGCAGGCCCCGTATGATCTAGACCTTCTCTGTTCCTTTATGATCCATCACTGTATCTCCCCTGCTTGCTCACTATGCTTCAACCACAATATCTTTCTTTCTGTTTTCCAAGTATACCAAGCTTTTTCCCACTTTATAACCTCAGCAATTAGTGTTCTCCCTGTCTGGAAAGGCTGGTTCCTCCCCATCCTTCAGATCTTGACTCAAATGTTTCCTTCTCAGAGAGGCCCTCAGACCACTCCATCTAAAGGATGCCTTGATCTAGGCACTACAAATCACCTTGTTTACTAACTTCATGACACTTACCTCATTATCTGAAATACTCTTGTTGATTTACTTCAGTATTTTCTGTCTTCCCTATTTAAATGTAAGCTGTCTACAGGCAGGGCTTTTTCTGCTTTGTTCACCACTATATTTCCCAGAGGCTAGAAGACTACTGACAAACAGTAGGCACTCGATAAATATTTATTGAATGAATGTACAAGAGAATAGGAATGAGGCCACGTATGACCCTAACTTCATACTTGGGGTTTACAGATAGAGAAAAAGATGTTCATCTTCTTTATTTAAAAAAACAACATTTAAGTCAAATTACCAATAACAGAAGGGCAGTAGCTCTGGCATGAGGTGTCAGACACCAGAGCTCCACACCAGCCTCAGAATAAAAGGTCTCTAACTACTGGTGTCCCGTGTAACCAATCAGAAGTCTCTTGACAGAGCCTCAGGAGCACAGAAATAGCTGTGCAGAATCATCAGGGAACAGTTCTGAGACTGCTATCCCTATGGGCCCATCTTCATAGCACACTGTCTTTTATGGGGGGGCTAACCTTGTTGTATAACCCATCTTTTCTGGTGGGCTGAGGGGTGGGGTCCCTGTTCAGCCTCCTCTGGTGTTTCTTTTCAGGAATCAGTAATGGAGAAGTGGTGGACTGGATGGACTCGACTGGGGAAGAAGTGAGCCTATGGCAGAAGATGCGACAGTACCCAGGGTCTTGGGTGGAAGGGACTCTGCAGCTCCGTTCCTCAATGGCCAAGTAGAAGCTGGGCTTATGAGTCCCTGCCCTTCTCTGCAGGCCCAGACCTGGCCAAGGCAAGTCAGAGGAAGTGGAGAGACCAAGAGTAAAGGTTTATAATTTAATATGTGTGTGTTATGTCTGTGTGTACAAGCATGTATTTCTACAAATCTCATTATGCTAGAGTGTTGTAGACGTGTCCTCCTTTTGAAAGCAGGCTCAAGAATAAGGGTCTCTTCAAAATATTCTTATTTGTGTATAATCTACTATACTTGCAGAGTCCATTCTTGCTTATATCTTTCTGAGGTTTAATTAACTTATAAAATATTGTAAAATAACATTTTATCTCCTGTCTTATTACCCTTGTTCCTACCTCCCCAGGAAGCCCTGGCTACCTCTAGCATTATTACCAATCTGTGTTTAAATGTGTTCCTGGTTTGAGGCCAAGTCTCTGGGAAGCAGGGTTGGGTTACTAAAGACAGGAGAAGATGGTAGAAAGGCGAGAAGGTCCTCTCCTTCCTCTCTATGCTTTTAACTCATTTTCTACCTTGACAAATTTCTGGAACTTAGCTTTTAACTCCTCTTGTTTTTTAAGCAGTTTCCACCTTGCTTGAGTCTAATGGTTTTTGTGAAATTGTAAGAAAATTCTTCAATTCCTTGTGGTTCTAGACACCTTCACTATACCTTATAATGGAGCTGCTTTAAAAAAGCACTTTTATTAAATAATAGCCTTTTGACCAAGTCATGGACACGCCCAGCAAGTACTTCTTGGTGGTTCCAGAGGACCAGAGTAACTGAGGCTGAAGTTTCTTCCAGTCTGTGTTGAATTCTTTGCATTTAAACTGATACAACAGTTGTTGGACAGCTCATTTCTCTAATGAAAGGCAAAGACATCTTCACTGTCAACATGTACCACATCTTTCTCAGCGTTTGTGTCCACAGTCTTTTGCTGCACAGAATGTGGTCTACATACCATTATGTCCACCAGAATAGCCAAGTACTATCTAAACTGGCCCTGTGTTTCTCTAGGCTGGGCACTGTTAGTGCTCCAAGGGAATGTGTTCAGATAATCTCCCAGTTACTCTGACTTTCTTCTTGAAGTGGTTTCGGTTCTTATTTTTTTCTATTGTTTCCTAAACTTGACCTAGATGTAACATGGGACTGGTGCATTGAGGCCTTTCTAAGAAGGGTCTTACCGACCTAAGGTTCATTTTCTGAAACTCACTCTTCCACACTGACCTTTTTATTCTTCTACATGTATCTACACAAAGTCATTTGTGAAAAGAGTCTATAGCGGAGAAGAAATTCCTGTCTGTCCGGTCATCTGCCTGCTGACTCTCCTATTAAGGCCACTGGGTTGAGGGAAGCAAAGGTGGTTTCTGTTGTATGTGTGAACCGAATGGAGGAGTGTCTTTTAAAGGTTTATTTGGTGTGGATCGATATTGGAATGGAAGGCATAACTTGGGATACTGGGCTGTACCTGGCTACTTTGTTCTCCACCCCCTGCAATGTACTTGTCCTTCAATAAAGTGTTCTTACTTCTTGTTAAGTGTTTGCATTTGTTAATTCTATAGATGCTTTTGTCTCTCATGTCCTGACTTCCTGTTGTTGCTTTTCATGTGGCTTGAAGGATAAGAACCAAAGTGACACATGCCCTTCCCTAACTATCCTGTACAGATTCAAAGAAAATTTCCCTTTCCCTACATTGCTTCCTGATGCCTCCACTGAGCTCTGATCCATTGACCTTGGTGTTGGTATCTAGGAAAGAACTGAGAAGCCATCTTAAAAGTGGTACTACTTTTCTCTCTCTCTCTCAAAACCTTTAGTTTTGTGCCCAGCCCCACCACATGATGGAGGAAGGAGAGCATTATGCACAGGAAGAGATGTTCCCAGCTGTGTTTCTTGATCCTTCGACTTCTCTAGGAGGTATAGGGCCTTTTTCCTTCACTCCTACTACCATTATTTAGTTTTGAGAGATAAATAACACACATGCTAAGTAACCCATCTCAGAAATAAGGCTCTGGGCTTCTAGGTAGGCCCAAGTGACTCTTGACCTCTTGTACAAAAAGGGCATTAGTATATGTTTAAAGCCTTCTGTGTACAAGGCTTTATGCTAGATACATTATATACTACTGCTTTAATTTCTCCAAGAACCTTATGAAGTAGGAAAATTTACCTTTTTACAGATAAGGAAAGTCAAGGCAAGAGTTGGGATTTGAATCAAGGTCTGACTCTATAGTCCCATACTGCCTCCTGCAAGGATGATACGTGTGTTATGAGTGAAGATTCCAAGGAAGGAATGACTCCTCTCTTCTAAAATATCCCCCCAAAAATAAGTTTAGTTTACAAAGTAGGACAATTAGAATGCTTTGGATGTTACCTAGTCAGCTGACTAACTGAATAGCTTGGGAGTGGGGGTGGCAGAGAGGGGCACAGAGAAGAACAGAAGCAGAGATATGGGCAGGGGCAGGGGCAGGGGCAGGCTAGCCCCTTTGGGTCTGGCAGTGGGCCTAATTCTGCTGCTGTCTCCTTTCCCTACTTAAGGAGCTGAGATTTCTTCAACCATAATTTGAAGGATATTACAGTAAATGTACCTCAAAAAAGCAAGATTGATTATTCAATAAAGCAAAACAAAAACGTTTCCATTTCTTAAAGCATTTATATGCAAGAGTCAGGCGCAGATGGGAACTCTGTTCAGGAGGCAGGAGGCCTCTTCATGTTATCATTGGGCCTTTGACTTGCTCACATGCCCTGGCTTGCCACTTGGCGTGTTAATGATAAAGACAAGGAAGGGTATTCATTTTGCCTGATGTGCAATAAGTGCCTTTAGAATTGCAGACCCTGTCTGACCGGAGACTTCCCACATTAACTCATTGTATTTTGCCTTTTGCCCATAACTTGCCTCCTGCCTTTCACAACTCCTGTACTTCCCTGGAGGGAAGAGGGAGAAAGGGACCTTTTTGGTCCAAGTTTGATAATTTCCTCCATGTCTCATTCCACTCAGCAACTGCCTAAATTTTGATTTTGCATTTCTAAAATGAGATTTCCACTAAATCCCCCATCCCCAGTTGAAAGAGCTTTTCTATGACTTATCACTACCCCTATATATATCTGGGCTTGTGATTTATGTCCCATTGGTCTGCTTTGGGGAGTAAATTTTCACAAGTTCAGAGACTTTCATTTCCCTCTCCTCCTGGGCCCACTCTGACTCTTGTGTCTGAGTAGGATTATATATAGAAGGTGAAATCTTTCTTCTCTCTTGGAGCTGTCTGCTGTCTTTAAAGGAAAAATAGAAAAAGAGATACAGGCAGCATAGCATAATGTTTAAGAACATTGACTCTGGAGCCCGACTACTGTTGTTTAAATCCTGACTCTGCCACTTACTAGCTGTCTGATCTTAGGCAAGTTGCCTAACTTCTCTGTACTTCAGCTTCTTCATCTGAAGAATGGGAATAATAATAGTGCCTAATTTATAAGGTTCTTGTGAACATTTCAGAGTCAATCGATAGAATGTTTAGAATGGCACCTGGCATATAGTGAGTGCTCCAACATTATTAGCTCTGCCTCTGCACCCAGCCTGCTTCCTTCTCTCCTAATTTTCCACTGATGACCCCTTGGGTAGAGCTAAATGAGAAAGGGTGATGGATGGGTCTTAACTATGATACTGGGTTCCTTCCATGAGTGTGGAACAGAAGGTTCTCAGCAGCAAGGGGAAGAACGCTTTTCTTTAAAACATCAACACACTGTTGAGTGTGGCTGAAGCCAGAGCAGAGATCTGAGTATAGCCCCCTTCCCAATAGCCCTGCCTCAAATTTACTTTCATGCCTGTACTGCCGTAGGTTCCACCTGCTCTGTGCTCATCTCTTAAAGGTGATTATCTGATGAACTTAATAAATGAGGCTGAACCTGTCTTTTTTCCTTTTCCACTGTTTAGTTTGACAGAGGCTTGCAGTGGTGCTTTCGAGGGTTCCTAGATCATGAGGTTGAAGCTTCTCCAAGGAAGGGACAGTTTGGGTCATCTCTTACTATGGAACTGGAGGCTCGGTAAGAAGAGAGTGTTGCCTGTGAGACAGCTGGAGGGGCCAAAGAAAGCATTCTGCTCTGGCCTGGTGGTTCTTCCTAAGCTCCCACCCACAGCAGCATTTTCCTAACTCTTAGATGAAGCAATAGTAAACAAAGTATTTGTAGACTACTGCTCTAAAAGGGGAAATGACAAGTCCAAGAATGTTTTGGAATTCCCTGACCTCCAATGATACAGTTATGAGGAGAAGCCAGCTACACTTGCTAGGGTGTCCTGTTTCTTGTGATGGTGCTGCCCTCTGCTGTCACCTCAGAGTAGAGGAACCATTTAAAGCACAGCCAGTTATCTCTGATCCCATCCTGAGACACATTTATTGTGGGGGGCAGCGCACCAACCACAAGGAATGATATTTCACAGACAGGCTAAATTGGCATTCAAGAGCCAGGCTCCTGGCTTCAAGTTGAAGATAGTGGAGTATTCCCTGGCCGGTTTGGCTCAGTGGTCAGAGCATCGGCCCATGGACTAAATGGTCCCGGGTTTGATTCCGGCCAAGGGCACATACCGTGGTTGTAGGCTCAATCCCCAGTCCCAGTCAGGGTATGCACAGGAGGCAGCCAATCGATGTGTCTCTTTCATATTGATGTTTCTCTCTCTCTCTCTCTCTCTC